TTATAAGTGAGGGAAAAAGATGGGATTATGAGGATTATCTCTGGTGCACTGGTGATAATGAAGGGAATCCGGAAAAGAAATAATTTGTATTACTTTCTGGGTAGTACAATTATTGGGACAGCAGCAGTGACAGCTTCTGCTGATGAACAGGAGTCAGAAGTAACCAGGTTATGGCATATGCGCTTGGGGCATGTTGGTGAAAAATCCTTGAAATTGTTGATAGATTAAGGATTATTGAAGGGTGTTCGGGCTTGCAAATTAGCTTTTTGTGAGCATTGCATCAAAGGGAAGAAGACGAGGGTGAAATTTGAAACAATAATCCATGATACTAAAGGTATTTTGGATTATGTTCCTTCATATGTATGGGGGTCTTCCAAGACAACTTCATTGGGAGGAACACACTATTATGTCACCTTTGTTGATGATTTTTCTCGAAGAGTTTGGTGTATACAATGAAGACAAAAGATGAGGTGCTAGGATTTTTCCTTAAATGGAAAAAGATGGTGGAGACTCAAACATGCAGAAAAATCAAACGTCTCCGTACAGACAATGGTGGAGAGTACAAAAATGATCCATTTCTAAAAGTCTGTGAAGAAGAAAGTATTGTCAGACACTTCACTGTCAGATATACACCATAACAGAATGGGGTGGCCTTCCAAGACAACTTCATTGGGAGGAACACACTATTATGTCACCTTTGTTGATGATTTTTCTCAGAGAGTTTAGGTGTATACAATAAAGACAAAGGATGAGGTGCTAGGATTGTTCCTTAAATGGAAAAAGATGGTGGAGTCTCAAACAGGCAGAAAAATCAAACGTCTCCATACAGACAATGGTGGAGAGTACAAAAATGATCCATTTCTGAAAGTCTGTGAAGAAGAATGTATTGTCAGACACTTCACTGTTAGATATACACCACAACAGAATGGGGTGGAAGAGCGTATGAACCAGACATTAGTAGAGAAGGTTCAGTGTATGTTGTATAATGCTGGGTCAGGCAAAGAATTTTAGGCTGAGGCTTTGGTATATGCTTGTCACCTTGTCAACCGCTTACCATCGACTGCTATTGGTGGTAAACACCATTAGAAAAATGGTTTGGAGAACCTGCTATAGATTATGATTCCTTACATGTGTTTGGTTCCACTGTATACTACCATGTTAAGGAGTCAAAGCTGGATCCAAGAGCAAAGAAGGCGATCTTTATGGGGATCACATCTGGTGTGAAAGACAGATAGAACTCCCAAACAGGTGGAGTTTGAAGGAAGTAGAATTGTCCTAGCCAGTAAAGAAACTGATGTTGACTCTCTTATGATAGAAAAAGAGTCAGATGAAGAAGAGGTTCAGACCCAAGAACCTCTACAACAACATGAATCAATTGCACTCAGAAAGGGAAAGAGGACCAGTAGACAACCTGCTCGTTATGCTGATATAGTCTATTTTGCATCACCAATTGCAATTGATGACGTTCCTGCCACTTTTAATAAAGCAGTCCAAAGTTTAGAATATAAAAAGTGGAGGATCGCCATGAATGAAGAAATACAATCTCTTCAAAAGAATCAGACGTGAAAACTAACTAGTCTTCCGAAGGGAAAGAATACAATTGGGTGCAAGTGGGTATATGCAAAGAAAGATGGATTTCCTGACAAGAATAAGATCCACTACAAAGCAAAATTGGTGGTTAAAAGCTACGCTCAAACGAAGGGAGTTGATTATAATGAAGTATTTTCTCCAGTTGTAAAATATTCCTCCATCAGAATAGCACAGTTGAATTTGGAACTAGTTCAGATGGATGTAAAAACTGCATTTTTACATAGAGACTTGGATGGGGAAATCTACATGACTCAGCTAGATGGATTCAAAGTTGCTGAAAAAGAAAAGATGGTGTGCAATTTAGAAAAATCATTGTACGGATTGAAGCAATCTCCAAGGCAGTGGTACAAGCGATTTGACAAGTTTATGATAGGGCAGAAGTACACAAGAAGTAAATATGATCATTGTGTGTATTTACGCAAACTACAAGACAGAACATATATATATCTTCTTCTTTATGTTGATGATATGCTAATAGCTTCCAGGAGTCAAACAGAAATTACGAAACTAAAGACTCAATTGAACAAGGAGTTTGAGATTAAGGATCTTGGTGAAGCGAAAAAGATTCTAGGCATTGAGATATCAAGGGATAAGAAATTGGGGAGGCATTGTTTGTCTCAGAAAGAATATTTGAGGAAGGTGCTAAAACGTTTTGGTATGAATGAGAAGTCAAAAACCAGTTAGTACACCTCTTGCTCCTCATTTCAAGCTCGGTGCATCCATGTCACCTAAGGATGATGCAGAAAGGGAATACATGTCAAAGGTTCCGTATGCAAGTGTTGTTGATAGCTTGATGTATGGAATGGTGTGTACGAGACCCGATATTTCACAGGTAGTTGGGGTTGTAAGCGGGTATATACATGATCCTGGAAAGGAGTATTGGCAAGCTGTGAAATAGATTCTGCGGTATAATCTGAACACCGTAGATGTTGGTTTGGTCTTTCAGCAGGACAAACAAGATGGTCAGTGTGTAGTTGGGTATTGTGGTCAGACTATGCAGGTGATTTGAACAAGCGTCGATCAACTACTGATTATGTGTTTACATTTGCAAAAGCATCAGTCAGTTGGAAGTCCACCTTAAAGTCAACAGTGGCTTTGTCTACTACAGAGGCAGAGTATATGGCAGTTACAGAGGCTGTGAAGGAGACAATTTGGCTTCAAGGGTTGCTTGGTGAATTGGGAATGGAACAAAAACACATCAAAGTGCACTATGACAATCAGAGTGCTATTCATTTAGCAAAGAACCAGGTTTACCATGCAAGGACGAAGCACATCGATGTTCGATATCACTTTGTACAAGAGATTCTAGAAGAATGTGGAGTCATAATCCAGAAGATTCGGACCACTGAGAATCCTGTTGATATGTTGACAAAAGTGGTAACTACGGTCAAGTTTAAACATTGAATATTGCTACAAATTGAAAGATGAATTTGCAGACACTACTGAAGATTTGAATTTTTTGAGAGATGTGTGTGAAATTTGCCAAGGTGGAGATTTGTTGGATTTTTGGCAAATTTTGAATCCCACATTGGTTTTGTATAAGGAGAAGGGGAAATTCTTTTGTTATAAATAGAGCCCTCTTCCTCCTTAGTTTAGTATCCCGCAAATATATGTCTTCTTCTATATTAAAGGCTATTTGTACTCTTTCTATCTCTTTGTAATATTTCCTCTATTAGTGAAATATTATTTTAGTAGTGTTCGAGGACGTAGGCATAATTTTGGTCTAACCTCGTTAAATTTTGGTATTCTCTTTTATGTCTATTTAATAGCTATTGTCGGGTATAGTTGTTGTTAATTATTGTCCTATTAAAATTACTTGTCTTGGTAGTTCTGTCTAAGGAGAGTGGGTTTTAAGAGGGACCATTGTGACCCCTCCACTCTTTCTTGCGAATCTATCTTGATGTGATTTTTAGTACAATCGTTTTCACACTAGTCACCTAGATAATAGTTTTCAAGGTGAATTTGTTATTATTGGTGGAAATTAACCCAAATTCCTCTATTAGATAATATATGTACAAAGACTTTTAACTATTTGACAATGAACACTCATACCCCTACATACGTGCTTGAACTCGGGACCCTCAAGGATAATAACAATCCCTTAATCACTAAGATCGCTTGGTTCATGGTGAATTCGAGTTTAAATACCTAATAAGTCTTTGGGCTGTTTGTTTACTTCAGAATAATTAAGCGTTGAATGATTCAAATGTTGAATGATTCAGAGGCTCTGTATGAATTAGCTCTGAATGTGACATGATGTTTAATAATGGCTCTGAATGATTCATAATGTACTTTGATGCTGAATCATTCAGCACTGTTTTGTTGAATCAATCAGCACTGAATCATTCAGAGGTGAGAAACAAACACGCTGAATGTTGAACGGTTCAACATTCAACGTTGAATGGTCCCATTCAGAGCCAAACAAACATCCCCTTTATATTTTTCTTAAATAGTCTAATATTTTAGCCCCCTTTCAATATTTAATTCTAACCCCATCCCTGAATAGAGAAAAAGAAAAAAATGAAATTTAAAATAAGAAATATAAGATGAGCTTTAATATGAATATATAACCCTCCAGGATGAAATTATTTCTTGACCCAAAACTGATACCATTTTAGGCCACTGGATCTGAGTATTTGAGTAATGATCCATGCTTTTTGGTACTTTTAAATTATTTACATTTCAGTCCTTCTATTTTTGTATGTATGTAATTCGCCCTTTAATAATATGAGTTAAAATATAAGGTGATTTGTCGTCAATATGTTGTTTTAGTATGATTTTAATAACATAATTAATTCCATAATTCATTTGAAAGTTGTTCTACTTATGTTATCTTCTAATCATAATTTTGAATTTATTTATCATCCAAAATTTGAAATTATTGAATCATATAACAATAATCTAATCCTAAAATCATCTATGATTCAAACTTTCAAGTTTCTCAAACTAAATTTTCAATAAATGTGTTAAATCTTCATTTCACCAAAAAAAAAACCCCTAAATTTAACTACATTGAATTCGAAATCAAATTTTCTCAAAATTTTTAATTATATTTCCCAATTAAACTTTCATATGAAACCTTAGATCCGAACCTACAAATTGTATCAATTTCCAAAAAAATAAATTGAGCAGAAATCAATTTACATTAGCTTAAAATCAACTCAAAAACACAATCCCAAACTCTCATTTTTCCCATGAAACTTCAACCCACTCCCCTTTTACCCTTCACGATCCGCACCTTATCAAAAGTCCCAATCTCAACCGTCGATACATTCCAATCCAACGGCCGATATTTAAAATTTCGAGTGGCGAAATCGATCTGCGTCATTTCCTTTTCCACCACTCAGCTTTCTCCGTTCCCCTTATAAATTTCCCTCTCTTAACTGCCATTTAGCAAAATCAACAAAATCCAAGAGAGAGAGAGAGAGAGAGAGAGAGAGAGAGAGAGAAGAATTCCAAGTTTCTCACGGCTCGTAAGATTGTTTCGCAGAATCATGGTGGCCGCTACTGCCTCTGCCGTGGCTCCCGTTGCGAAGAAGAAAACTGCTGCGGCTAAGAAGCCGAAATCTGCTTCTTCTCATCCTCCGTTTCTCGATGTATATTATCAATCTAGAAACCCTAGTTAATTCTATCTTCTTGTTTTTCATCGGATTTTAATTTGTTTTTTTGTGATTAATTTTTTTGCAGATGATTTCGGATGCAATCGTTTCGTTGAAAGAGAGAGCTGGATCGAGCCAGTATGCGATTGCGAAATTCATTGAAGAAAAGCATAAGCAATTGCCCTCGAATTTCCGAAAGAATTTACTTGTTCAGTTGAAGAAATTTGTTGCATCTGGAAAGCTCGTCAAGGTCAAAGCCTCCTACAAGCTGCCTCCGGCCTCCGCCGTTGCCAAGAAGCCTGCCGCCGCGAAGCCAAAAGCTGCCACCTCTGCTACTGTGAAATCAAAGCCGAAGGTAGCAGTCAAAGCTCCGTCAAAACCGAAAGCAAAAGCTGCAACGCCTGTTAAGGCAAAGGCTAAAGTTGCGGCGAAACCTAAGGCTAAAGCTAAAACTAAAGCAGTGACTAAGCCAACTAAGGCGGCGAAGACGACCAAAACAAGTACTCCAGCGAAGAAAGTAAAGTCTCCGGCGAAGAGGAAAGCCGTGGTGGCGAAGAAGCCTAAGAGTGTGAAATCGCCGGCTAAGAAAGCAGCGAAGAAGGCGAAGAAATGCATCCTTTACCCTTTTTGCTCGATCTTTTTACTTACTCACCACTCCATTTTTGCGACCATTACTTTTGAGCTCATTTGCAGAATCGGTTCGTTCCCTATGGTTACCGAGGCTTTGGCAGTGACCCCCGCAGCAAGCTTTTGCCGTTTCTTCCTCAGATAAGCGGACCATATCGCCACAGCTCTTTCTTTGGGTAAGTTTTGGTGACTTTGGCCGAGTTAATGGCAGCTGAAACGAAATAAAAGCAAGAATGAAATGTCTCGTTATCCACCAAAGCTGCATGAAGTTCAACAGAATACCTTCTTCAGTTCAGCCTTCGGTGGAGGTCCTTCGTAGTAGAAACGAGGTACCGGATTTGCTTTGACGAACAAGCTCTTTCGCAGCTGCTTAAGTTCTGCTTCTTGCTCTTCCTGCTTAAGGGCCTCGTACTGCTGTCTCTCGGCCTCCAGAGCTTGGTGTTTTTCCTCCAACTTCTGGTGAAACTGGATTGAAAGAGAAACATAAACATTGTCAATTGTTTGATCAAACAGAGTGCGAATACCGATTTTTAGATCAAAGAATGTACCTCCTTCCGTCTCTCAGCACGTTCAGCGCTTCTAAATGTTGGAGCAGTCCCAATCGTTACCCTCGATCTAGAAGTTCGAACAGATGCAGTAGTACTAACCAAAGCTAAGGGTAATTCAACTAAAACAAGAACAACTAATTACAATACAACAAACCTTTCTGCTAGAAGACTTTGCAAATAAAGAGAGTTTCAATAGGGAAGTCCCTCAACAACAATAAAAACCGAAAACTGCAAATAACATCGAATAGAGGATACGAGGAAGCGACGGACCAATTATCATCGTCATCAGCATGCTTCCTTGTCATCAGAGGAGTCTTTGGAGAGTTTGTCTGAAACAAATGTAGAAATCTAGAAGATCAGCACATACTGAAGATAAAAAGGTGAAAGGCCCTAAGTGACTGTCATCTTCTTTCAGGTCGAGCCTCTTATATAGAACGCTACTCAACCGATTTGTCTTTAAGTCTTAACCCAACTAAGTCTCAGACAAACTGAATCATGTTAAAATCTAAAAGTCCATATGGTATTCACTCGTTCAGAAATTTCAACCGAACTCGAGAATCAAAGGTACCTCAGAATCCTTAGCACGGGAAGGTGTAGAGTCGGAATTTGCGGTGCCATTTGCACCAGCTTTGGAGGGACTGAGGTGTGTTTTATTATTTCCACCACCGGGGGATTTCAGTGCAGTGGTATTTAACTTCTTGTCACCAGTGCCTTCTGAAATTCCCAGATTACCATTTGAATGCACCGCAACATTCGGTTTCACCGCACCGGTTGGCTTATTGGCCGTGCGCACACCTGTGACTTCCCTCCCCATTACACTACATTAGACATAAGCTAAGCATCAGAATAGTATGAAAACACATTAAGCCTAACAAGATACACAACAGCAGGCAAGTTCGGGTTGCCAGTACAAGAACTGCACTGAGAATGATAAGAGATTCGAAACAAGTTCCCATGAAAACATGCACATGAAGTGATCAAAATATCATTTATTCCCAAAGAATCCCTTTTCCTTTTCCAAACTTTGAAATACTTTCACTGAGAATGATAAGAGAACGGCACTGAGAATGATAAGAGATTCGAAACAAGTTCACATGGCACATGAAATAAAACCTTAAAATACAAAAATAAAAGGAATTTAAGACACTATTTTAGTATGCAAAGATGTCTCCTTCACAAAGCAGAAAAGGAAAAGAGAAACGAAGATCCATGAAACAGAGGAGATGAGTTAATTAAAAGAATTTGTACGTTGCTTTGTCGAGTTTCTCCACTTTTATAGGTTACAAAATGATCCACTGATTATAAAATGTTGCTTAACATAAAATAATTATCCGACTATTTATATGTTCAAAACTCGTCCAAAGGTCACCCGACTATTAAAGTATAACAAAATTGATGGACGTTTGGATTTTAACCTGCTGACCGAGATATGATAAAATTATATATTAATGACGTCTACCGACATCGTCGTTGCTTTCAAGCATTGGTTCAATGACATAATATAAACCGAGAATCAATCCAAAAAATACAACACGATTCTAAGATCAAATCTTATTATATTCCAATCGATAGTTTAACCGATATTAAATTTTTCAAGTAGAAATTCAATAAATCACTGTTTATACTATAGCGAGGAGATCATTTATGTAATTTACCAACAAAAAAAAAAACATAACTCTCCCCCATGAACAATTAAACAAGAAAAAAAAACCCAGGAAACACGATGAGAAAGAAGCAATATACCTTGAAAAAGTGGGGAATCGATGAAACAGATCAAACCCACATTACTTTTGTAAAAAAAACACACACACACACACCAAAACTCAAAAAAGATAACAGCTTTGACATATGTATTGACTTACAGTTTCTTTTCGAAGCTTGATCTGAGAAGGCGTTGAAACCCTGTTTCTCCTCCTCCTCCCACTCGTTTTCTTTCTCTACAGTTTCTATCTCCCAGTTCTCTCTTTCTCTCTCCCCTATCTTAGTCTTAATAACGGACGGTTTTCCTTGTATTTAGCTCTCTTTCAGGCTCACAAAGCTGTGTTTTAAATCCTTCCTTCATAATGTCGAGTTCATGGCTATTTATAGGTGACAGTTTTTTTCAGTTTTTTATCTTCATGCTTTACCGCCATCGATCCTTTCTACTTTGTTGGTTTATATGATAATTGTTTTAAATAAGAGTTTTTGAGTTATCTAAAATACTATTGAAAATGTTAACAATAAAGTTTGTTTGACATGATAGAAGGTTATAATATTTTATTAATGAAATATAAAGTTATTTGAAAATAAATTTTATTACTTTTTGTTATTTTTTTAATTTATTGAACGATATTAATAATTAAAAAATATTATGATGGTCATGGATGGATATATTTTGGTTATCTTCTATGTGGTTCACACATTTCGGGGAAGGTTCAAAGTAAGGGCTAAATCTACGAGATAATGTGTTGGAATTATTTATTTCACGAGATAACGTTCTCCCAAGATTAAATGTTGAAATAGGGCGAATTACACAGTGTTGGTCGTAGGTCGCCATGCCTTCCGGGCGACATACGACGTGGCAGCTTCAGACGTCCCATGAACAACCCAACCCATAGGACGCCATGCACTCCCAGTGACCTCCTAGGTCGCCATGCACGCCCGACGACCTTGTCTCCTTGCATGGCCATGTGATATTTCTGCACGTCCCGCTTTATGGATGCAACACATGCATGAGGGAGCAGAGGGTTAAAGCTTGGTCGTCGGGCAGGAATCTCCCAGCTATGACATGCAGAGGGTTAAAAGCTTGGTCGTCGGGCGTGCATGGCGACCTCTTTGGTCGCCCGGAGTGCATGGCGACCTAGGAGGTCGCTGGGAGTGCATGGCGACCTATGGGTTGGGTTGTGCATGTCCCATGCACACGATCATTCCCTCGTCGGAAGCTGCCACGTCGTAGGTCGCCCGGAAGGCATGGCGACCTACGGCCAACTGTGTAATTTGCCTTACTTCAGCAATTAATCTTGGGAGAACGTTATCTCGTAAAATAAATAATTCCAACACATTATCTCGTAGAGTTAGCCCAAAGTATGACTTTCTATAGATTTCATTTATTTTCAACGTGGCAATGAAATAAGATAATTTTTGTATCCGATCGGCATTACTTAATTTGAAAATTTTTATTTATGTTTTAAATGTATGAATATTAATATAAAAATAATGTTTAATATATTTTAATTAAAAAAATTATTAATTATAAAATAAGTGCTCAAACTATAACATTTTTTTACGAATAAGTGCCTACAATAATTTTTTGAATGATTTCAGTGCCTAACATTACAAATGTTATCATTTTAGGTGTCCGGATGGTAAACGCCGGTAAATTTCTATGTTAAATGACATGTGTCACATTCTGATATTTTTAAAATTTTTATTTAAAATTAAAAATATTAAAATTATATATTAAAAATTTTTAAAATAGCCTCAAAACTTTGAAAACCTTCATTTCAACCTCTAAACCCACGTCGGCAGCCGCCTTTTTCAATCGATGAAGCTCCACTCGACCTCACCTATCCCTGGTAATAAATTCCCCTATGAAATCGCGACTGATCGTCAACCAATCGACGTTTTGTACCCGTGAACCCTAGGATGAAAATTGCGATCCCACACAATTCTGACAACCAATCGAATTTATCTACGATGTCGTATGACTAGGAGGATGACGGGAACTAAGCCGGTGGTAGTTGTCGTGGTTGGAAAGGGCGGCAACGGCGGGTTAGAGTTAGGATTTAGGATTTTTATGAATTTGGGGTTTTTTTTGTTATTTAAGAGAAATTAGGGTTTTCTTATAAATATAATAATGTTTTAATTTAAAATTTAACTATGACGATGTATGAGTAGGAGGATGACAGAGACTAAGTCGGCGGTAGTGGTCATGGCTGGAAAGGGCGGCAACTACGGGTTAGAGTTAGGATTTTTATGAATTTGGTTTTTTTTTGTTATTTAAGAGAAATTAGGGGTTTCTTATAAATATAATAATGTTTTAATTTAAAATTTAACTACGACGACACATGACTAGGAGGATGACATGGACTAAGTCGACGGTAATGGTCGTAGCTGGAAAGGGTGGCAACGACATGCTAGAGTTGGGATTTAGGATTTTTATGAATTTGGGTTTTTTTTATTTAAGAGAAATTAGTGTTTTCTTATAAATATAATAATGCTTTAACTTTAAAAAAATTTAAAATTACCTGAATGTGTAGTCACTGGTGCTCGAACTCTTAACCTCTAAGAACAAAAATAGTTCCTCCATGGTCAATGCAAAAGTGATTTAAGCATACGAATTTAGGCACATTCTCTATATGATCCCATTAATGTCCCCCATCTTAAACACATCAATATATGGGGAGCAATATCTACATTCACAACATTTGGATCCATCTTCGAATCACAATATTATATGGACCAAATTGAAACAAAGATTTAGGGCATATTTTTTATTTGGAACAGTGTTGTTTTAAGTAATCTGAAGACGTTTTCGATTTTGTAAAATTTTTACAGAATTTTGATTGAGTTTAAAAGATAAAACTTCAATCCGAGATAATATTGATCGATCTGTCCTGTATACCTATCGTGTCCTGTAGTTTTCGAAGGATTCAAAAGCATCTTCAAATCTACATTACATAGGAAACTCTAGAAGACATAAAGAGAGCATCTCCAAAGAAAAGATCTCAAATAACAAATCGAAGAAAATTCAAAATTTATGGTAGACACATGTCCGTCCTGAACTAAGAGTGGATCCGCCATTGATCGGATTCATCAAATTTTGGTTAAAGACGAAGAGCATTCCCATAGGATGAAACGGATCAATTCGAAGGTGTAACTGTCGTTTTATCCATTAAACATTTATTTTTCGTTAAAGAAACCCCATCTTTCTCTCTTACCACGTCCACAACCAATAACATCTCACCACGTGGTCAATTCTCATCGGTCCATTTGTTCCCCTATATAACCACCATCCCGTAACGGTATTTTCTTCCCCCCATGTTTGCCGCTACATAAAACAACATAAAGAAATCAAGAAAACCAGAGATCAGTGGAAGAAACCGAAAAGGGAAAGAAATCAAAATCAAAGAAGTCTAGGAGCATTAGACTGAGAAAAGATAATAATGGGTATAGAAGCAGTGGCTGCTATTGGAGGACTAGAGGCACAGAAGAAGAACAGAATTCAAGTGTCCAACACCAAAAAGCCTCTCTTTTTCTATGTTAATCTTGCCAAAGTAAGTCTTTTTTTAATCTGGTTTTTTGTTTTTGTTTTTCGATATGTTTCATACAAGATCATGTTTTTGACTGATCTTGGCTTTGGGTCTTCTTTAATATGTCAAACCTTCGGTTCATTAAAGATTTCGAGGCTAATTATGATCATCTGTCCTTGCAAATGTTTGTAATAAATCTGTGGTTATGGATCTAAATGTAAGTTCAAAGATAGAACTTTTATTATTTACAAGCAACTAAATGTGAAGCTTTATGATCATATCATGGTCAAGCTTTGTTTCATGTTTCAGTTTTGTTTCCTTCTGATGCAGAGATACATTCAGCAGCATAATGATGTTGAGCTTTCTGCCTTGGGCATGGGTACATTTCTCAGTTTTGTTTCTTAGATGCAAATGATTGATTTCCTAATAATTTTTATCTGTTTTGGTGCTTCAATGTCCATCTGGTTGTTCATCGCCTGTTCGTGTTTTTTCATCTATGAAAATCGATTCGTTGTCGTAATTCCCCCCTCAAAATTGTAATGCAGCAATCACTACTGTTGTCACTATTGCTGAGATATTGAAGAACAATGGATTGGCTATTGAGAAGAGTAAGAATCTTTTTTCTTTCCTCATCAAGCATGGATTATTTGATATTGATTGTTTATGGAACAAAGCAGAAGTCTCGACATCCACGGTTAGCATGAAAGACGAGAACAAAGGGCGTGTTGTCCTAAAAGCCAAGGTATCCATATAGTTTACCTCTGGACTTGGTAGCTGATTTCATTCTGATCTCTGCTTGCTCGCTGTTCCAGATCGAAATCGTGTTGGGGAAGTCGGACAAGTTCGACTTGCTGATGAATGCTTCCAATGTGGCACCGGAGACTGATACCAAAAACAAGGAATGACAACTTAGTGCGGCAAAGGATTTGATGTTCATTGTTGTAGTTCGATTTTGGATGTTCATTGATTGAAACTTGTGGAATAGTTACGCCTTTATAGAATGATATAACAATGAGCAGTTTGCAGTTGTATGCTTCTCTCTGTTCTCTTCAAGCGTGGAGGGATCATCCATGTTATTACATTGTTTCTTTTCGAACTTGTATTTCTCGTTGTTAACACGAAATCGATGATTGAATAGTCGATAATTTTTCGTTCTTTTTCAATAATCTTAAATATCGATGAACTCGTCTCATCACCATTTACTATTTTATCGACTTAAATTTTGCTCATATTTGAAAGATTTGGAATGTTCATTCAAAATTTTGAACAATAAGAAATGTTATTCCAAAAAGACGAATAAAATTCATTGGAATTAGCCCTGTCGGACAATCGATAAGAGAGATTGGACGATCAATAAGAAATGTTATTCCAAAGAAAAAAAATGAGAAAAATATAAACGTTTTGATATTGATTTTACTACGGATGGTGATTGTTGGTGGGTGAAAGGCGATGATTAATTGACAATAAAGAGTTGATGATTTTTTATAAAAATAATAGAGAAAATAACAGTAACGTAAGGGTTCAATACAAAAAATCAATTCAGAAAATTTAGTGGTAAAACTGAATTTTTTTATAATTCGGCGACAAAAACAAGACAGAGAGTAAAATTCAACAACCAAATTTTGCCTTGAAAATATCACAGTTTGAACTGCATATGTAATCCAGTATATGTTCTTTAATGATCTTACTATGATCAAGTTTGATAGAGCTGCTAGTCTTACTGGTATGGTAGATGAATTTTGATGAGGTCATCTTGTGAGTATTGACTGAAAGTTCATACCTTGTTGTTCGCTTCTGATTTAGGCTTTTATGTGTGGGGTATTTGTTTTCATTTCTTGTGCATGAGTTTGTTTTAACATAAGAATTTAGTTCATTAATTTGTTCTTTGAGATCTATTGTTGACAATTATGGCTATTTGATATTTATCCTCTTCTTGAATTGTGTTTATCCACCATCTCTTGCATGCATAGATCTGCTACGAGAAATGGTTTCGAATATTTTTAGTAAATGACATAGAGACATCATGCATGATGTTGTTGCAGAGAACATAGATGTGCGTCTCCAATGGTGTGTTCTTAAGCATCTGAGTTGCAATTACTTTGTTATACTTTGACTCTCTATGGCTGGTAAATTTTGGTTAGTTCGGGTTTAGGCAGATGTCTCTTCTTCTTCGATCTTTTCTCTCATCTATGTCGATCTTTTATCGTTGGCAGCGTTCAATCTAGCCTTGGATTCTTGATGTCATTTTTGTATAATTTGAATTTGATTTATTTGAAGCAGTTAAGTATCTTGTTCTGAAGTTACATAATCTTCTAGGACATGGGTAGAGGGAGAGCTTCATATGTTTACTCGGAGAAAATTTCCCATCGGTTTAGTACGGCTTTATCATCGGCCTTTTTCGATCGGTTGCTTCTTATTTGACACCATGTTTGCTATGCTCAAGACTTTGATCATGTTTTTGGGAAAGAAAGATGGAAGTTTTATTGGAATCTTCCATGTGATGATCATAAGTTGGAGCACTCATCCTTAGTTTACTGTCATGCTAATAACAAGCTTGTTGATGTTCAAGGAACGTGTGAAAGTTTCCTTTTCTCATTTGGTACAATAAATAAGTCGAATGCCGAAACCTACCGATTGTTGGTCGGCAAGTTGGGGGAAGATTTCGATTGTAGTCTCGAGGATGATCCCTCACTTGAGAATCATAAACTTGGATGTTCGACTCAAAGCCACTGTTCTTCGTTGCAATGAGCCATGGATGCCAAAACGCTATGCCAAAACATTGATGCGAACACGATCGACTGTGTTTCCAGCTTCTGAATTCGATATATCTTTACCAGTTTCCATTGAACATGGTAAGTATGTGCAGAAAAGAAGTGGCGATGTACTGATTCGGTTAAAGCTACACATCAGAGAAACAACCGGCTCGATCCTTCATCTCATGTATCATATAAGGAGCTTAAGATTGCTACTGATTCGGAATCTGAAGTCAATAGTGATGCTGGAAAGGAGGAAGATGGTGTAATTATCCAAACTCATCATCTACAAAGAGATCTTGTTGATCAACAGATGCAGCCAGAGTCTCGAACTTTTACTTTGTCCGACGATTTTCCTTCGGAGAAATTCATGGATCCCGTTTCTGCACTTAAGCCTTCTATATTCATTTCACAATCAGAACCGGAATCAACCATCATTGAAGAGCCTCTTAAAACTATATCAGTGGAATCTACTGATTCAAAACGACATGTCTTGGAGGAACTTACCGAGCAAGCCAGTTGCGAAATCGAGCCATCCTCTTCTTCTAAGCTTATTTCTCTTGATGGCTTCCCTTTATCATCAAAATACAGGGAAGCTTCTATTGATGTGCCAAAAGAAATGAATCTTGATTCCCTTGATAAGGACTCTCCATTGTCAAATCCTGGTGAAGTTCCTATTCAAGTGTCAAAAGAGAGTAAGCTTATTTCCCTTGATAAGGACTCAATTCGTTGGACCTAACCGATGCTTATAAGCTAGCTGTAGGTAGTAAAGGAAGACAATTATCTGGATTGTTTGTTGAGCAATGGATTGGGAGAGATTCTTCTAGACTTAGTGAGGATCTAAAGGTCTTATTGTCACAATTATCTTCTCGAGGGACGGAGCAATCGATGAACGATGCAAGTCCGAGGATATATATAAACGGCGATGATTACTCGACTGCAAGAAGAGAAAGTGAAGCTGCAAATGGAAGCCTTGCAGCACCTGAGAATGATGGAAGTACAAGCCGATCGAGTACGATATGGAAGCACTACAAAACACAAACGGCCTCCTTGCGGAGAGAGAGATTCGAGATTGAAGCGGAGCTAGAGCTTTACAGGATGAAGTTCCCCAACGGATTCATGCCATATGACATGGTGAATCATTCAGAAGCTAATGGCATTGAAGAAAAGGCAAGCTTACGCACAGATCAAGGTACCTAAAAAACTAACACCGGCGCCACGGTTGAAGAAATCGATAAGTCATTCGAGGACACGAACAGGATCACCGTGACGAATTCCATTGTCTGGACATGAACAAGGGTACCATGAGGAACTCAATCCATGACTTCAAATATTATTGCAGAGCTTGTGAGACCTGTTCTCTTGGTAATGAATTTGAAGATTGAATTCGTTTTTCCCTTTTTCTCGAACCCAAGACCTTTAGGGAGAACACCACTCTTTTTTATCGCTGAGTTCGCTCGATGGATTCTACAGGTTATGATGTTTAAGTGTCGGGTGCAAAGTTAAGTTTGACATGATGAAACCATACCATCCCAATACTGGTTTGTTCTTGAGTGGCTTTGACTGTCATGTTTTTACATTGGTCAAATTCTACCGTCAGTGTCGTACTTTGCATAAGTTTTGAATTTAATCCCTATATTCTAATTTGGTCAATTTTAATTCAATCTTGACTCGGAAGATAAAAAAACAATATGATTAATTAAAGTTGACAAAATTGAACAAATTGGAGATCAGAAATTAAATATACAAACTTACATATAGTACCGAGACTAATAGTAGAATTTGGTTTAATAAATTTGTTGGTTAATGTTTGAGTTAAGATCAAATTTTCAAAAATCAATAAATGTAGGGACTAAAAATAATAAAATTAGAGTATATAGACTAAACATGTAACTTACGTATAGTACAAGCAGCTAACAATAACATAAAAGTTATAAAATTTTGTAGGGAGTACTATTAAATAACTTAAATTAAACAATTAACTTTTAGGAGGGGCCAAAAGTATATATATATATATATATATATATATATATATATATATTTGTTTAACTAAGGGGTTAAAAGGCTTATATTAAATCTTTAATATTAAAGATTAGAGCTGTTCATTAATAGGTCGAGTTTATACATGTGATTAATTTACTTTGTGTTTGTTAAAGTATATCTTACTTAAAATATATAACTTATTTTTTAGGGTTAAGGGTCATTTTTACCGATGTAGTAGATCGAATTTATTATTTTCATCTCTATGATATTTTCGTAGTAATTTAACCCTTGAAGTTACTTAATTACATCAATGTTTAAAATATTTATTATTGTTCAGGGTTTTTAGTTAAGATTTAAAGTTTGAGGTTTAGGGTTAAAAGATTATAATTTAGGGTTTAGAGTTTAGAGTTTTAAGTTATAATTAGAATATAGAATAATACAATTTTGAGAGTTAAATTAATACAAAAATACCATATTAACTAAAATAACTAAAATGATAATTGGAGTTTATTACAGAGACAAAAGTAATCCTTGAAACTTTTTTTTATTAAGCTAATTTGTATTTATAAATAATTGATCCAAACTAGGATGGGCATGGGACCTAAACCCGACGGGCTCCGACACGAATCGATCGGGTCAAATTTTTTAAAAAAAATTCAGGTTCGGGTCGGGTTGGATCGGTTTTTTTAATGTGATGTTCAGGTCGGTCGGTTTATGGTGAAAAATACCCGATCTGAAAAAAATATATAATTTTACCTTAAATATTTAGAAATAATTACAATAATACCCCTCTATATATTATTTTTTTCAATCAAGTCACTGTTTTTATTGAATAAAAATATTTTTTTATTATTTCGGGTCGAATTGGGTCGGATTTTTAAGTTATATATCGGGTCGGGTTCGGGTCAAGTGAAAATTTGTTTTGGTTGGATCGGGTCGGGTTTCTGGTGGAAGACTACTTGTTCTCGAGTCGGGTTGGGTGGAAACACAAACACGTTTTCTTATCCTTACATATTATTATTTTATTTTTAAAAATATTAATTCAACTTTTAATTTAATATTTAAGAGTATTTTTCTAATATTTAAAGTCTAAATAGTAATTTATATTGATATAAATTAAAAGATAAATATCAATTTTGTATTAGAACTGAGCATAAGCCGGGTCTTTTGTAAATATTAAATTTTATTAAATTATTTTCCTATTAAAACAAATAATAAAATAGCATAACTTAACTAAAATAGAGAATTTGTTGCTAATTTCATGCGAAAGTTTGACCCCCACACATAGTATTTACTAAATTAAAATTCATAATTTTTCAATTTTATTATATTTTTTCCTTTATAAATAAAAATCAAATTTAAATATTTTTTAGAAAAAATAGAAAACTTGAAAATGTATTT